CCTTAGCTAGATATCACTCGATAACTCATCGGCTCAGTCGACAACTCATCGATATCTCATCGATACTACAAATATAGCGCGAGAAGCAACCTTGAAATGTCCTTGAAATGCAACATAGGAAGACTAAAGTTAAATGTTAGATAAAAAGATTGATCAAAATGCCGAAACATAGGTTAAGAAAGCAAAATACAAATTACTGTCAATATTGCGATGAATATTTATCTCGGACAGGATATTTTAAGCACCGTAAGGCCTATTACAAYCCAGCAACAGATCGATGGTTGAAGAAAGCGTCCATTGAACTCAAAAGACCTGGACCGAAACCATGCGGTGAAACGGAAAACAATCAGGATCTTTATACTAGTTACAGCAAAGATTCGACTGACGAAAAAGACATTTGGTCGTGCAGCTCCTCGGGGGAAGAAGAAATGGAAATACTAGGRTCTGACCAAAGCAAAGGTAAACATGCATAAGCGTTCACAAAAACTGTGGGGGAGGGGGTGGATTTTTCGAGGGAGGTATACTGAGGAAACACCAATTATATATATTATGTATAATATGATGTATAGTTAAGCTCAATGAATTTTCCCCTTCATGTTTTTAGATCAAAACGCATATAAGTATGATAATGACGTACATTTGGGTGTATCCAGTCTTTTAGAAGATAATCAACACGATCATGGAAATAATGAGGTAAAAATAGGAAGACATCTGTATAGAAATAAGCTTGCATTATATAGGGATTAAMATAATGTTGAGCCAGTCATTGGTCACAATCACTAGCCAATTATGTTTTGGCTTGGCATACCTCATTTCTCGATCAATGTTACTCAGATCAAAATTACTGGCAATGCAAAGATTTGACAATAGAAGACAAGTTCCAATTATGGCCAGATTGTCCATTTACTGATTGTTATTTCAAGCCCAGTATTTTATATTATTAATAATGCATGCACTTGTCAAAATATGTCAATAACTGGCCCGCAAACCAAATTAAGGATAGAAAAAAAAGCCACTTCTTGTTGAATTTTTGCTTTATTTTAACTCAGGCAATCTTTTTTTTTTTTCAAAATGCAACAGTGAAATTCCACAATATAGCCCCAACATGGCTTGAATAACCTTGTATGGACCATCTTTGGGATTCTGGATTTGACTAAAAAAATTATTTATATTATTTCTTAGTTTGCATGTGTCTATAACTAAATAGTTGATTTTTAACTAAGCATTATTATATGATGAACAGTTAGTAATAAATAGTTTCATGAATTTATGACATATGCACTAGCTCTAAAATTAAAACAAAAAACCTTATAAATAACCCACCTTCCTCTAT